GCAACAGTCTCTTTATCTTAATTGGAAGTGGAAGTCTCTTTCTCACTTCTTTTGATAACTCCCTCTTGTGCACCTCATGTTTTATATTTAAGTCTTCCTCCTACAGCTTTATTTGAGAGGTAAGTTAAGCCTAGTAAAAAGCTCTCAAAAATCTCATCCCTGTGCTCTCTCTTCTAAACAGACATTTATTGAGATTTTTTTTAAAGTCCTAGAAACTATCTTCATAAAAACAAAAACAAAATAGGGTAGACACTACATTGGGATCACAAAAATTCTAAAGTAAATTAAATGGTAACATATCTGCTTATGTAATCTGGAACGTAGAATTTAGAATTTTGCAAATTGGAAGCAACATCAAGGACTTAATGGGGTCCATTCATCTGCATTCAGACAGATTGCTTCCCTGTTCCTATCATACCCTATCCGCGGAGGGACTTAAGGCAGAGTAAGGTTTTCTTATTCTCATTTTACAGATGAGGCCTCTGAGATCCAAAGAGACAGAGTGATCACACCAAGTCTCACAGAGTGCAAATTGTGGAGGGGGAACCCAGGCTCCAACTTCCTGGCATCACAACCATTCCAATATTTGTTCACTTCAACTGCACGGCCCAAAGAACTAATCAAAGGTGCCAAGAAGAGAAATCCTGGCATGACTTCATGAGGCTTCCTATTTGGAAGACTTGACAGCAAAAAAGACTTTACATAAAAAAGAAAGAACATTAAGAACAAAATGTAAACATCACTGAGTCACCATCCAGTGCCATGTGCCTTCCCTAGATTAGGGAGATAATGGCATGTGCAGTATCTATCTTGTTTCACCACCGTGTGTCAGAGTATGACACCGGGCTTGGTACACTGGGCAGAAGAACATCACGAACTGAGTAAATGACAACATATAAACAAAAAGCTGGGTAATATCCCAGAAGACATCCTAAACTTGTCTTGACAGCACCTTGATACCTTGATAATGAAAAAGCTTAACCTCTCTTAGATCCAGACTCTAGCTGGAAAGCAATAGACCTACTACTAGAGAGATTCTGTATAATATTTTTAAGAGGTATTATTATCTGAATATCTTTTGGTCAATCCAGTCAGGAACTCAAAATGAAAAAAAGGCAATAGTTTGGGGGAATGTAATCATTCTCCCAACGCAAACTTGGTTATAAACCAAGAGTGATATTTTTTTGAGCTACATCATTTCAACTGCAAGGCCCAAAGAAATAATCAAATGTGCCATAATATCCAAAAGTGGTATTTTTTAAACTTTTTATTTGAAAATAATTTCAAAATTACAGAATAATTCAAGGGACACCCATACATTCTTTACCCAGGTTCACCTATAGTTAAAATTTTGCTCCATTTCCTTTGTAATTTGCTGTCTTTCTATCCATTCACCCATCCACATAATATTTTTTTCTGAACCACTGAGATATTATAGATATTAATATATAAGGCCCTGTACTCCCAGATACTTCAGTTTGTACTTCCTAAGAGTAAGGATATTTCCTTACATACCACAGTACAGTTATAACAAATAAATTTAACAATAACACAACACTTTTGACTATCCATATTCCAATTTTGTAAATTGACCTAATAATGCATTTATAGCATTTTCTCCCCTCCTGCATAGGCTCAATTATTGTATTTAGCTGTTATGACTCTAGCATTGTTTAATCTGGAACATTTTTACAGTCTTTCTCATTTCTGACATTGACATTTTTAAAGAATATAGTCCCTTTCTTCTTTCTTCATAGAATGTTCTTCATTTTAGATTTGTCTGATGTTTCCTTGTGATTAGATTCAGGCTGTACACTTCCAGATGGAATACTACAAAAGTGATGTTGTGTCTTTCTCAGGTTATCACATCCAGAGGCCCATGATGTCTATCTGCCCCTCACTGGTGACATTAATTTTGATCACATGGTCAAGTTGTTGCCTGGTTTCTCCATTACATACTTATGATTTTTCCCTGAGACTAATAGGAAATCTGTGGGGAGACACTTCAAGACCATAAAATAACCTGCTCCTCCTCAAAGATGAGTTTTCATAACAGCATTTTCACTATTGTTAGAGAAAGTGATCTCTACATAGTAAAAGAAACCTAAGTTTCAGTTATACTTGAAGAAGTTCCATGTCAGTTTTAACATCTGTTTTTATTACAGTAGTCCATGCACACTGGGTGTTTATTAAAAATTGTTCATTAACTGCTATCTGGGTAGAATATGGGCAATCTGATTTTTAAATCAAACTGGTATTAATGTGCTAATATTGGTTCAATAAAATCTATTTAACTTACGCTACAGAAGGGTTTAGAAACTAAATTAAATGATACAATTGCAAGAATGTTCAATAAAAAAAAGAAAGAAACATGTAAAAGAACCTACCTTTATTTATTCAAATTATATATAGATTCTGGTTACACAATGATATTGATTATTATCCAGTCTTTTCTAAGCAGTATGATTTTGAGATGAGCTTAATTTAAGGCCTTAACTGGATTAAACATAGCTAACATATAAAATGTTCAAATGGCCAGGTGGTTTTAGTTTCTGAGTTTGGTAACAAGCAGAAAGAAGGTAATTTTTGGAAAGCAGGGCAAATTAAAAAAAAAAGAAAAAAAAAACTTTTTAGAAATAGCTTTTAAATTAATAAAAAAGGTTGCTTTTTTTTTTTTTAAGTTTTTAAAGATGCTTCATTTCTCATTTTGTTACCATGGTTCTCAACAAATGTGAGAGGATGTTTCACAAACTAGTCATCATGCTGAACAGGTATGCCACTAATTCAACAATTCTTTCATAGAAGTCAGGAAACCAGGGTAGACCAAAGGCTTACTCTATTAAAGTGTGAAATTTGCTATAGCCTCCTTTCTCTTTTGAGCCCAGCTTTTCATCTATAACTTTGTCTTCCTTCCAATACAATAAAATTCCAGCCTTTATGACAGAAGAGATGGTTTTTTAATCAATAGAATTCAGCAGCCAAAGCATTACGGTTCTGGGTTTTGTTTTTTTTTTTGAAAAGCATTTGCAGCCACAGGCTCAAAGGAGGAAGAAAGGGATAGGGATTAACTCTCTGCAACGAAGGTCAAAAACATAATTTACAAGTGAGGCAAGAGGAGCAGCTGTATCTGTTGGCCCAATCAAAACTACCAGCTGGAGAATTTACCAGCAATATGAAAACCAAGTCCACCAGATGTCAAGCACTGCAACTGGAGGCCAAACATCTTTGGGCTCAGTAAAGGACTCTCTACTCTCTTTACCACCCATATTTCATGTTAAATAGTAAGGTGTCTTCCACAGGCCACCAGCAGGGATAACAGGAACATTTCCCCACAAAGGACGTAATAACATGACTGTACCATACCACACTGGCTTCAGTACTGAAGTCCACCTCATACATGTTCTTCTGTTAAAAAGTAATTTTAGCTCAGAGTCAACATGTAAGAAGTGAGAGAAAATTAAATGGCTCCAAGCCATTCCTGTGCAAGGATTCTTGTGGCTTATCAGACTTATTTTATATTTGGGAACTGTTTTATCATGGGGAGAAAAGAATGTTCTGAAAATATTTATTTGACTAACCATTTTTCCACTCATTCTTTAAACCTGTGCTGTTCAATACAGTAGCCACTAGTTACATGTGGCTATTTAAACTAAGTAAAATTTAAAATTCTGTTCCTTGGGCATACTAGCCACATTTCAAGTGTTCGATAGCCACATGTGGCTAGTGGCTACCCTGTTGACCAACAAAATATAAATATAAATATAAACCATGTCCATCATTACAGAAAATTCTGTTAGACAGTGCTGCTCTAAACCCATAAATCACCTTTAAAATGGGCAATTATAATTCTCTTCTTTATGTACGAGCAAAGCAATCTTTATGCATTCTCTTACAAAATAAGTCTACTAATACAATCTGAATTTTTTTAGGTGAGGTGAGACAGAGGGGAGGGGGAGCTCAGTAATATTTTCACAAACGTAAGCCAATCCTTGTCTGGGAAAATGCTTTTGTACACTGTATGCACAGAAGCCCTCTAACGCTACTGGCTTGCTGGATAATATACAGTGGTCTGTCTGGATGGGTGTTATACGACAAATAAGCAATAAACTATTCTTTATTACATGTATCATTAATTTGTTAATGATTCAATCTATATCAGACAGTTTCTATCAGAAATTTCTTTACATATATTTCCAAATGTGCAAAATAAATCATGTCCTTTAAAAAAGAGACTGCCCAACTTCACAGCTTTGCAGTTGAGGTACTTTAATGCCACGTAAACATCAAATGCCACAGCTGTTTCTAAAAATTTTATGAACAAGAACATGAGGCTAGTATAAAATAAAATCCACAAATTATGTTTCTTACTGCCAGGCTCACCCATCATGAGTCCGGAGAAGCCAAGCAACTCAAGAGGTGCTGCGCCAATGTCTGTGTGACTGCTGTGACTCACTGAGGGACACGTGCCACAGACACGTGGCACATAGGGCACAGACCTTTGACTGTGCCCATGAGGACACCATGCCAAGGCATGCCAGAACAGACCACAGCACGAGCCAGGTCATAGGTGCAAGCACACTGGCCACCTCTGCCCTTATACATGCAGGATGTTGTCCAGTCGCTCAGCTTTCTTTGCCTCGGTATCCTTTATCTATTCCAACATGCCTTGCAAAATCACCCAGCCCTGTCAGCTCATCAGCTTCACTCCCATTTTCTCTTCCCAATCCCCAGTTTCCTCTTTTCCAGTTATTCGCAATGGATGAAGAAGAACAAGATAAAAAAAAGTTTTTTCCTAATCTCCCCCACTTCCGTCATCAAAAGCAAAAAAGATCTGCTGTTTTTCTTTGGGCTCATTAACCGTTCTTAATCAGATTCTCATAAAGATCACAGAGCTAATGCCCAAGAGAGGCTGAAAAAATTCCATCATATCAACTTAGCTGGTTTGAGGTTCATGCAATGGCTGCAAGGTTTTCAGGTTATGCCCCAGTTTTCCTGCTTACCTTGGCTTTCCCATCCTGGGCTGACATATACCCAACACACATGCTCTCCGTCGTGTGGCTCCACAGAAATTCCACTGCCGTGGAAGAGAACACAAATAGGCACATTCAGATCACAGATGGAAAATAAATCTTTGCTTTTTAATAGAACAGTTAAAGATAGCTTTATATTTAACACACTCAGTTCCCTACTTTCCATTTGCTCCTTCATAAATGTCAACATGATTTAGTACTCAAAACTGTGTAATGCCATTTACTGTGAAATGAAAAATGTATTTCTTTCTTGTCAAAACTTATGATTATTACATGTAAAAATAAATGCTCTTCTGTTTGAAACTCATAACATTAAACACACGCACATGCATGCACACACACTCATGCATACGTACACAATGATTTACTAAATGTAATATTCCATAACGTAGTTTCCTTTAAAACACACACACACACACACACACACAGACACACACACACACACACGTCTTAGTTTCTAAAAACCATTCTCCATGAAAAGGGACCAGGATTCCTTGGAGAAATGTTGATTCCAGGGCTGGGGCAGAGAAAATACAAAACGAATCTGGAACATCTTGTGCCAGAAAGTAAGGAAGTGTCGAAATAATGATGAGGACTTATCAAAAGGACCCAGGGTTCCGCCTGGAGGGGCTCCCACTGGCCAAATCTATGTCAATCTAAGTATCAAAATAAACAATGATTGTAAAGAATTATCACCACCGAACAAAATAAGAACCCATACTAATGCAAATAAGCAAATGAATAAATAAGCGGGGGAGAAGAGAAAGCTCTTCCTTGCAGCAGAATGCCAACTAATAAATATAAAAGAAATAATGGAGTTAGAAAACCATCATGGTTGCTAAAACAGTAGATGAAAATTTGAAGAGGAACAGGCTATTTTCATAGTCTCAAAGTATCTCTCCACAAAATTCTTATTAAACATAAAGGGGGGAAATGTAAATTCCCTGTGGAGAAACCGGATGGACTCCACTTTAATCAAATGATTGAAGCTAACATCACCAATTAAGGGACAAATTGACACTATATGCCTCCTAACAAAACACCCTGAGACTCACCAGCACTTCTGTGGTGTTCTTGCTGAAATTGCAGAATCAGGACTGCATGAGGAAAGACCATACAACCCCAATATAGGAACACTACTAAATAACTGGTTTGAACTCTTCAAAAATGTCAAAGTCAAAACATACAAAGAAAGTTCAGAAACTATTCTCATTTAAAGGGACAAAGGAAACATGACAACTAAATGCAATGTGTCATCCTGGGTTGGATCCTGGATTGGGGGAGGTGGGATATTTATAAGGGACATTATTGAGACAACCGAGAGAGCGTGAAAAGGCACTATAGATTAGACAACAGTGTTGTATCAATATTCAATTTTATGATTTTGATAACTGTACTGTGATTATTTAGAAGAATGACCTTCTTCTTAAGAAATACACACTGAAGTATTAGGAGCAAAGATGCCTGATACCTCCATCTTGCTCTCAAATAGTTCAGGAAAAAAATGTACGTTTGTGTATGTGTGTGTGTGTGCGTGGGTGTGTATGTGAGTAAAGGGAAGAAGGAGGGAGGGAGGAAATAAGGATAGAAAAACAAACGGGGAAAATGAAAACAATAGGTGAATCTGGTAAAGGAATCATGGGTGTCCCTTGTACTAACTTTTCTCTAAGTTTGAAATTATATCTAAATAAAAAGTTAGTTACAAAAAGAAAAATTCACAAACATACAGAGACACACACAAAACTCTGTCACATTCAAGTACATACTTTCAAAATTCTAAGTTTTTTAAAAGGCATTTTTTAAGGTTTGATGCACTTCTCAAACAAAAATTTCAAAAGTCCCTAATAATAAAACTGCCTTGCTCACCACTAAACCCTCTGGGTCCCAGGCCATCCATCTGTTTATATCTTCGACCTAATTAAGCCTGAAGACAAGTGTTTGAGTTAAGACACAACTGTGGGATCAGTGATCCTGGACTCTGAAGGCTTTGCCAGACATGTGTGGAAGAAAGACACAATAAGGGGCAAAACTGAGTTCCTCAGATATATGGCTCATTCCTTCATCATTAATTAATTATCAAACCTGCCAACCTGCTCAACAGACGCTCCGCTGAAGAGTGCAGGAAAACAGCGTCACGCAATGAAGAAAGTTCTCTTCGCCAGATGTTTTTTCTTCCTCACACATCTGCTTTGAACTTTAAAAATCTTGAAGTCCAGAGTAAGATCTGGGATATTCTAAATTGCCTAATAGAGCAAAGGCACTCAAGTCTTACAGAATTTCCCTAGAGTAATGATAATGCAATTGTATTTAAATACAAAGTTAAGGCGTTTCTAAAATTGTGACTTCTCCTTATGCCCTAAATGTTAAGGTGGCAACTGTTCAAGAATTAGCCAAGAAAAATACATGGAAATATAGTCAATCCAATCATGAAAGTGAAGGATAAAATAATTGCACTTTAATTTTTTTAAAGACATGATTTTGATGATTTTAAACTGGATTATTCTCTCCAAAAATGTAGCTTGTTTTAAGGAAATGTAACATGTACAAAATTTAGACTTACAAAACAGGATAAATTGGGTGCACTGATTGACTACATTAAATGTTTTTATATTGAAGGGTTTTCAATAAAGTTTCTAGATGTAGCGTTTAGAAGTTCTTAAAGAAAGGAACTCTATGTCTAGAAATTCAGTCTTCACTCTTCACAAACCAAAAAAAGAGGTGCATTACACTAACATTATTTTTAATACCAACAATTCAAATCAGTAGATAGTAATCAGTAGTTCAGGCTAGCTTGAGAAATTCAGCAGAAACTGTCTACAATTTAAATTACAGAATGCTTTTGAAAAGAAACCCTATTTTATTTCTTCTAATGCATATCAACTCAAGTTAACTTAGCAAATTATTTCTTGGAGGAGGACTTTAAGGGAGCAGGAGAGGGAGGAACTGACATTGAGAATCTATCATGTGCCAGGCACTGTCTTTCACAGTAGAACTCAGCAAAGCCTGGATGGGGAGCCTGAGGCTCAGAGATGGTAAGTAACATGATTTAGGTTATTTTAGTTAAGTGCACAAACTGGAATTAAAATTGGACTTTTGGATTCTAAAACCTGTGATCTTCCATTGTTCTATTACTCTGAAATTTACTCAGCTTTTTCAGAAGGATTTATAATTAGTATTACATGTTAAGAGGATTAAATTCCTTACAAACACCAAAGGACCATAAAACATCAAACACAAACACAGCTCTTAAATATTTCTTAAGAAAAGCCTTTAAAACTATAACAAAACCCAGAGGCTATAAAAGACAAGATCAATACATTTGACTATATTAAAAAATGTTTATAGTATTTTCTTTTGCCATATGAGGAAAAAAGGCAAGAGATGAATGAAAAACTGGGGGAAATATTCGCAATTCATAGAACAGAAAAAGGACTAATTTTCTTAATATATAAAGGTCTGGTACAAATCAATAAGAAAAAGACAAATATCCAAGAGAAAGCTTAAGGATATGAACAAAAGAGAATATGAATGGCTCTAAAACATAAAAAGATGTTCTACATTTCTCATACTAAAAGAAATGCAAATTAAAACCACAAGATACCATTATTCAACTATCAGGTTACCAGATAGCAAAAGGTTTGAAACACCATTACGTTAGCTGGGGGTGGAGAAAAAAGCACTCTCATATAATGATGGTCAGAATATGGCCATTTGGAAATACATTCTTGTAATTTGTGGTAGTTATGTTCTATAAGGTCACCATGAATACTGAATTAGCAAATACTGAGCCACTGCTCCTAGAGGAAATATAGGGTAGGTTCCTGCGAGCCTCTGGTCACAATATTTTCAATCAGTAAGTAACCTTATTCTATGTGTGTTTCTGTTTAAAGCCATCTTATTTATTACATATTTCTTATAAAGAATTATATGCAGTATTTCTTTACAATAAAACACTAGCCAAGAAGAGTTGAACATTTTCCTGACCCTGGATAACCTGCCCATGAATGTCTTTGGCTTTCAGCCTCACAAAAATGCTGTCCCCTAAGCTCTTTTCATTGGTCACCATTTCATGAACTCACAAGTTTAGGTACTTTTCCAGCTTTTCCATAGCTTCATTACACACCATAGATGTTACTTTAGCGGTCCCTGGAGTAGCCTCATGTACAGATTGGTGCATTTCCTCTTCCTTTTGCTGGATGAACAGTATTGTTGATTCATTAACTTTGAACTCATGGCCAACAGCATTATAACTCTTGCCTGAATTAGGCTTATCGAACACGCATGTTTTCTCCACAAGACACCACAACCTCCTTTGCACTTAGGAACAGGAGACAGCACTTCAGCACTATGCTTGGGGGCCATTTTACACAGCAAAATCAACAAAAATATGAAAAATGTGGCACTAAATAGAACACAAAAAGGACACTTGTTTATAGTATGAGAGCTGAGACAGGAAAGCAGGGCATTGCCTTGTTCACCTCAGTTGGGAATGTGCGTGTCAGACAACTCAAATTTTTCACCACTCTGTGCATGCCCACAAATGACTATGAAAGTGCCAGGAGTACTGATTTTGAGATTACAAATAAATTCCAGCAAGTAGAAAAATTAACAAATATAGAACCTGCAAATAATGAGGATTGACTGTATTTATCAAAATGACACATCCTTTGATCTAGTAATTCTACTTCTAGGCATTTATTCTACAGATAAGCCTTTATATGTATGAAATAACATATTTACAAAGATATTCATTGAAGTAGTTTTAGTTAGGAAGAAACTGGAAATAGCTTAATTGCCTGTTGGGGGAGTATATATGAATAACTATGATGCTCTGTACCATTGAATACTATGCAATAATTAAAAACAAAGGAGGAAGCTCTACATGGGTGATATGGAACCATCTAGACTAAGTGTTTTTTAAACTTTTTGACCATGAGCCACAGCAAAACCAAACCAAAACAAAAAAGTCCCACACATTGTTACTTAGTACACACATTTCTTTATAACTGAAATTTCACGGGGGCCGGCCCCGTGGCTTAGCAGG